ATTCGATTCAGCTCTTAAACCAACGCTGTAAAGTCTATAATCCTTTGTGTTTAAATATACAGGATTGGTAAAGTAATTACCCTCACAACATTGGCTTTTGAGCTCAATTTGTGAATGAAAGACCTCATTTGTTGAATACGTATTGATGCTAAACTTGGTTGTAAAGGATTGTATACAGGAATGCGTTGTATTGTATCAGATGTGACATTTACTGCACTTAGTATACAAATTTAGAAAAAAAAATTAATTCTCTTTTTAAATCTGCGGTTTAAACAAATTGTGAATTATGTGATACCTAATTTTTAAAAACAATTCACGTTTAATACATATTATTATGATTTATTGGATCTTAGTACACATTTGGTTTGAAGGGTGGGATGTAGCATTGACATTACCTGTAAACTTCACTTTTGTACCATGTTGTTTGTTCACACTTTGTTCCTTGGTACAGAGGCACAACGCCTTAGTCCTCAGGAATGGCAACGCAAGAAGGGTATCATGGGTGATACAGTATACTCTGTTATGTCCATGATACTGTTTATGTCTATAGGCGACACACCTATCGACCGATTGCTTCTTTATTTTTTTTTACAACACAGGGGGCAAACGAGCATGCGGATTACCTGATGGTAAGTGACTACCGCCTCCCACCATCACCCACAACACCAACGGTATTTCAGGTGCGCTGCCGGCCTTTTAAAAAGGAATATGCTTTTTTCTTGAAGGTTACTATGTCGTATCGGTTCGGAAATACTGCTGCTGGTAGTTGATTCCAAAGAATGGTTGTGCATGGAAGAAAGTGCCTTGAAAAACGCACGGTGGAAGACCGCCACTCAATTTACGTTTATAAAGCAACCATATATGGGCGAAACAGTATACTCTGTTATATCCATGGTACTGCTCATGTCTATAGGCGACGGTTACCATTTTCCATCAGGCGGGCCGTTAGCTTGTTTGCTATTCTAAGTAGCATAAAAAAAATTAAAAAAAAATACCCTAAAATAACTTCAGAACACTCCATTAAGTACAAAACACTTCATAGCCAGCCGTTGGAACGCATCTCTTCACAAACATTATTCAACGCAAGTGTCTCTCTATATATCATATCCATTAATCTCATTATAGTCGCTTGATTTCATTCCCCGACTTTCACTACTGCCGATACAATGTGCGCGAACATGCGAAAATCCATTAAGCATCCATCCAACTTAAATGTCGCCGACTTATTGTTTTAGCTTTGATTTAATAGATATGTTACTTACAGATATGTTTTGATATACTAAAAGCTAGGTAAATACATTGACGATATGATACTAACAGTATCCCGTGACTTTTCCAGTGTGATTTAGGATAAAAATAAAAAAGGTCTTTGTCTTAAATTTCAAATAATTTTGTCTACCAATCGTGGCAGATACTGGCAAAACTCCTTAATGGGGAAGGCCTATGTCCAGCAGTGGACAGTTAACGACTAATATGACGATAATGATACTAAATTTCAATCAAATACTTTCAGTTTTGCGTTTAATTAACTTAAGCGTGATTGAATAGTATATATAAAATGTATGTAATAAATAAATAAATAAATAAATATTTTAAAAAATAAACATATATTATATAATCTGTATGTCAATATAGATCTATCTGTAACTATTTACCCACAACAATTTTTAATACTTTTCATCGCATAATTACATTTTGTTCTCCCAAAGGTTGACTTAGAGAGAATGTTGTATAGTAGCATAAAGTCTGCTTTTTGAACTAAAAATTTCCCTTTTGTACCAAACATTTTTTTGATAATGTGATCAATAAAAAATAATGAAATAAATTTAATAATTTCAGAATGATTACTGTTAACTGTTTATTAGTACAAATCCGTTACCTATCACATGTTTTAAGGCAATTTGGGAATCTTTTTTATTTGTGCTATCTAACAGCAAAAAAGACCTATATTTATTAAAAATTTCAAGTTTCTAACCACAACAATTAAAATATTCATGAGACAAATTATAAAATTGGACAAAATAAGAGATAATGCATTAGTTTGACGCATAGCGATGCTTAGTTTCCTCAACATACACCGTAAACGAATCCGTGAATATAAAAAAAAATTCTTAGCTACTCAGTACTTGATTAAATACTTGTATTGATAATATAAACTGGAATAAACTGCCAAACGGCCCCTAATGGAATGTACCACTTAGTATAATACAATTTAGACCCCTCCGCGTCAAATGCTAAGCTATGATGCACAATTCGCGACAGTTGCAATGGTTGAACGCTACGTTTACTCCCTTATAGTTATTGACAATGACTATTTAGAATTGCACTTTAACTGGCAGAACTTTTCTCGTATTAATTAATTACTTTATTTATAATAATAAGAATTAGAGAGAAAATATTTTTAAATATGTTTTATAATACTAGCGATTCGGCCCGGTTTCGCACAGGTGGACAGAATTTTCGAATAATATATTGGCTTATGTTATTCGCTGATAATGTATCTTTTAATAGGTGAAAGAATTTTTAAAATCGGTTGAGTAATTTTTGCGTTTATCCATTACAAACAAACAATCAAATATTTCCTCTTTACAATATTATATAACAATGATATAACAATGATCCTATATAACAAAAATAACAAATTTCAAATAAAAAATACTCATTAAGATAATTTCATTTGTTTTTTCTAGATTTCTTGCATCATAATTATATTATCTAAAACAATATAAAATTACTTTATTGTATTGGAATAATAGAAAATTGACCACAAGGAAGATACCAACTAAGTATAAAGAAAAATACCATACTTACGGATATAAAAATTATACTGTACCGCTCATGTATGTCACCTGAGTCCTAAAGTATTCCATATTCTGTGTACTATTACTGAATATAATAGTATAAACATATCTTCATACCAAAAGACAACACACGCATTAGAGCTTTCTTTAGAACGAAAACAACACACATATTGGGCGTTAGAATTTACATCGTACTAAAAACAACGCACACATTGTGTATTACAGCTTTCTTCAGACCAAACGCAACACACGCTGTTATAGTTTCTTAAGATCAAAAACACACATACTGTCTATTAGAGCTTTGTTTAGGTGAAAAACCACACATTAAGTGCCTAACGCTTCTATTCAAAAATTAGTACTGCTCTTAATTTTTACGTATTAAAAAAAATTAAACTAAAAAGATCTTCAAACCAAGTATTGAATATCAAGGGACTTTTTTATTTAATGAATAAAATTGTTATTTATATAAAAGTTATTTGTTACTAATAAAAATAATTATTTTTCTAAAGAAGAAAATTAATTATAATGAAGCAAACATAAACTCAATAAGCCCATGTACCTAAACGCCCGTGACCGCAACGTGGCGGGGTGAGTGTCACAGTTTTGGTCCCTACACCCTGCCCTGTCGGGACAATGCCCCACGCTTAGCGGCCATTTAGCGAGGGGACGCCGTGTCACACCCTAATTAGTTTAAAATAAATTGCGCCTTTTTACGCCTATTTCACGTGTTTAGTTTAATTGAAACACAACTCTGTATTAGTTGTTGTTAAAAACGAATTATCCAGTTTAAACTGCTGTTACGAATACTGTGCTAATTTGCGAATAAAGTGAAATGAAATGTGGCAACATTATTTTCTCATATAAACAAAAGAATAAAACAAAGTGATAATAAATAACAACATAAACAAGCGATGTCATATATAGAAATGAAATTGAACGACACTAAAAACTGCTACAGAGATCATGAAAATATATGATCCGATGGATAAACTCGATAGAATTTCATCGGAGTATAATAAAACAAAACAAAAGTCGATACGTCCACATGTCGCCTATATTTAATCCCCAGTAATAGAGCGAGTGAGCGAATCGTTTGACTGCGCCGCGCGATCGGCTAAGTGATTGACTTTTCAATCTGTGTAATCGGATTACGTTGACTAGCGAGTGCCCGCTATTGGTGCTGTTACCCTACTCGTCACTGTCTGCAGTCGAGTGTTGTTACTGTTAACTATATGATTTTAATTACTCTCTCGATTGTACTTTTTTTGTTTTTCTGATTCAGTGGTATAATTATTCGTAGACGAAAAATTATCTACAAACTAATCTAATCTAATTTGCTAAATTAGTAAAATGTTGGTAACTAATTTATTATATTATAATTAGCTTAAAACTATAATAAAATGTATATTTTTTGTATTATAGAATAGGTATAATAAAGCATTGTACTAACAAAGACTATTAAAATTGATACAGAAATACCCTATAGAGGTAAACCTCTACGCGGTCTCTTCCGGAAACCATGGTTTATTCTTAGTAAATTTTCATTAATTTTTTTTAAGAAAACCCTGTCAAGTGCGAGCCGGACTCGTGCGCCGAGAATTCCGTACAAATTATAATTAAAAAATTTCCAAAAAAGATTTTTTTATTGTAAACCTTAGTATTTGATATTAATTTTAGCTTAATGCCTCCATGCGTTCCTGCATAAAAGAGTCTTGACAAACAGACAGATAGATGGATAACAAACTGATCCTATAAGAGTACCGTGTTTCCTTTTGAAATATAAAATCCTTAAAATTACTTGCAAGCAAAATAAGGTATAATCTGCTTAATAAAAGTAGATCAGGAAAGCACCTATAGCTTTGGAGACCTTTGTAAACATACCCTTAATTAACAGTATAGAACAGTGATTCCTAAAGTGGGTTCCGCAGAACTTAGGGATTCCATCATCAGGGTTCCGCGAAATTATTTATACAGTGAAACAATTTAATTTTTCACATTAAAAAATAAAAGAAACTACAAAGTTATACTTTAAAAATTTTGTAATAAAAGCTTTTTGTTCTTATATAAATTACATTATTTTTGATTTATAATCATTTGATATGGGTGTTCCATAAAATAAAAGGTATTTGGTGGGTGTTTTATTATCTAAAAATTTCACGAACCCCTGGCATGGAAATTTGAATTTTGAAACCAACTTACCTTAACCTGTGACTCCGTCATGCCCAATGCGTACGCAAGTTTGGCCCTTTCAGGGCCCGCCAAGTATTTTGTCTGCTCAAATGTCTTCTCCAACGCGAATATTTGCTGTCCACTGAACGTAGGCCGCGTATGTTTCTTTTTTCCGTCTTTGTCCATTCCACCCCCTTGCGCGGCGCAAGCGCTTAGTGCTCCATTACTCACTGAAAAAAAGACATAAATAAATGAATACCACTGAATGCACACACAGTGCCATCTAGTACCAAACTAAGCGAAAAAAGTATTTTGCAACCGACTTCAAAAAAGGAGGACGTCAATTCAAGTAGTTTAGTTCTTAATTATAAATTATTTATTTATTTACACACATACACCAAACAAATCTTTCATTTAAATGATATCATTAGTTAAATACAATTGCTCTTAAGAAAAATAATATAAATTATACATATTACATCTGACAAAACAACATAATAATGAAGATTACACAATTATATAAAAACATTACTATTTTACTTTTAATTTTGAATAAAATAAAAACATATAAAAAACAAAATGAATGTAGCAGTAGCAAATTGATGTTGCCACTTTTGGAGTTGGTGTTTTTTTTTTGTGGATCTAATCATAAATTATTTTATATTATTTATGGGTGATAATGCAATGATAGCCCAGCCGTCGCTATCAGAATACGCTACCAAAACAGCAATGAGAAGTAACAACGAAATCAGATCAATTGGAATTTAACGAGAATTAACCGTGTAGAGGTCGACCGGTAGTGTATATTGTTAGAAGTAGAACAGAAGTTTTTCATTCTGTTATGCGAAGTGGCCCAATCCTAAAGTCAAATTTGCACCACTAAGCCTGGTTCTAATTCTTTGACCTTAGATATTTATAATCATTCGAGTAATCATATTCGTTCCGCAAGTAAGCGTGACTGAGCTTATAAACATAGTGAGTATTTATTACCAAGCATAAAAATATATTTTATATATTTTAATGCAATAACTACCGGTTTAACTTACGTGTAATTAGATCGAAAAGCTCGACTAGTTTCGGAATCAATTCGTGATCCTTAATAATTGGTAGTTCATCATCATCTTTCTACTCTTATCCTAATTATTATTTGGATAATAAGAACGTTCCCTTTTCGAAAGTAGCTTAAAAATAAAGCACAGATGTTCGGGCATTTTTATTTATAAATTGGTATTTTAGATATCTGTAAAAAATATAATTCTTATCGTCTATACTCATAATCTGCAAGCGAGTGTCCGTCCCATTCTGTCGACGTTTTTATCATTATTTTCATTTCATTTTCCCCCCATCATCCCCCCTCTCCCACCCCCAAAGTTGTCCCCTCGGGAGCTTTATGTCAACGACTGTAGGTCCTCGCATCGCTTCATCAAAACATTTATACGCGATGAAAAATATCACAATGCTGTGTGATGGGTTTTTGTTTTGGTTTTATGTTGTTTCGTATTTGATGCGTCATTTTTTAGCGAATGTGAGATCGATTTAAATGCCATTTTTAGAACTGTTTTTAAAATTATGATTTTAATTGGATCATCGTCATCACAGTCAATATCTATCCACTGTATTCACACTATGGGGAGGCCTATGTTTAATAGGCCTCCCCATAGACTGCCATAAGGTACGGTCTTAAGCCAACTGCATTTAATTGAATAGTATACTGTAACTACAGTGTTTTTAATGGATGATAATGGAATGATAACCCCGCCTGCGCTAACAGTATACACTGGCGGGGCACCAGTGAGGAATGATAAATGAGAATGAGATAGCAGGTCAGTTAGCCCATCGTGATAAATACACTTGGAATTCAGCACGATGGTTTCCATGGGGAACCGCGCGGAGGACCACCTGGTTGGGTATACAGCTAGTAATAGGGCATTTAATCTCCATTACTAACAGTCCCTTCCCCCCCATGTAACTATAGTGTTACAAATAGTTTATCAGGTCGTTCATTATGATTACCCCTTCAAACTATCGTGGTTAATTCTTGATAAACTCTTTAGGATGGACCAATTGTCCTGGTTTTATCCTCACTTGTCATCCTTCATTACACAGTGTAATGTAATATCAGTGTATACTAATGGTATACGTGGGCGAATTAACAGTGAAGGATGATAGGTGTGGATGAAAAAATGAGTGAAAATGGAATGTTTACCTCGCCTGCGCTAACGGAATGCGCTGGCGGGGCACCAGTGGGAGATGATAGGTGAAAATGAAAGCAGCTCAGTTAGCCCATCGCACCAGGAATTCAGTACGATGGTTTCTAGGGAGAAATACAGGGTGGTAAACTTGCTAGGGCATATAGCTAGGAATGAGGCTGGTATATTTTTATGGATGATAATGGAATGGTAAAGGTAAAGGTTGTTCTAATACTGGCGGGGCACCAGTGAAGGATGATAGGTGAGAATGAAAAGGCAGATCGATTAGTCCATCGTGATCAATATACCTGAAATTCAATACGATAGTGTCCAGGGGGGACCACGTATAGGTCAACCTACAAGGATATATTTCTAGCAATGAGATTGGTAGTCCGCATTACTAACAATCCCTTCCCCCTACAATGAGGCTACTAGTCTCCATTACTAATGATCCCTTCCTCACGGGCAGGTCAGTTAGCTCATTGTTTTCATCCTCACCTACCATCCCTCGCTGGTGTTCCACCAGCATATATCGTTAGTGCAGGCGGGGTTACCATTCCATCATCACCCATTAAAAAAAGTTAGTTTATTGTAACAGTTCGTTACAATGAGCTAACTTTTTTTCTCATATGGATAGTTTTTCAGGGAGACCGATCTGGCAGCTTATTGTAACAGTTCGTTACAATGAGCTAACTTTTTTTCTCATATGGATAGTTTTCAGGGAGACCGATCTGGCAGCTTATTGTAACAGTTCGTTACAATGAGCTAACTTTTTTTCTCATATGGATAGTTTTTCAGGAAGACCGATCTGGCAGCTTATTGTAACAGTTCGTTACAATGAGCTAACTTTTTTTCTCATATGGATAGTTTTTCAGGGAGACCGATCTGGCAGCTTATTGTAACAGTTCGTTACAATGAGCTAATTTTGTACAAAGTCTCCCTCTGGTAAATATATCAATATGTCATTTAAGAAAGCACATTAAATTTTTAAAATTAAAACCAATACGGGATCAAAACTTTTGCAAAAAATGTTAATAAATTGCCGTTCATCATTAACGAATATATATATATAAACACTCTTACATAAAAACAAGTTAGTTAAGAACGGAGTCGCTTAAAAATAACAAGTCTAACGGGTATATACCAACAAATAAAAACAATACAATTCATAATAAATCGTCCAAATGACTGCCACAATGTATTCTTACTGTGCCATAAATAAGCTACCTCTTGGTTGCATTAATATTAATGTATCATAACATTAACCCTATGTCGCGAATCCAAGTTGATTACAGAAAGTACCTAAGTCATAAATATTAATAATTTCTCCTTGTGCCCTTGCATTTATGACTTGTTTATCTATCTGTAGGTATTACCTTAATTGGAATTACCAGGCCTCGCCTATTTGTATTCAGAATGAGACGTTGTATGAAGATGTATGTATGGGAATCTCTTGTATTTCTGCATGCAGCTTTTTTTTTACACGACCTAGAACGGCAAACAAGCTGACGGCCCACCTGATGGAAAGTGGTAACCGTCGCTTATAGACATGAGCAGTACCATGGACATAACAGAGTGTATATTGTTTCGCCCATGATACCCCCCATGCGTATATATTATATAAATTAACCCAAAAAAGAGTGTAATGTATATATATGTGTAAATGCCTATGCACTATGTACAGTGTATTATTAGAATGTTTACATTATTCCCTTAGATTCCATATGGTACTGGTAATACATTTTTGTTTCGAGTAAATATTTTGGCAAATTTTTATGGGTCCTGTCTAAAAGTATATATATATATATATATATATATATATATATATATATATATATATATATATATATATATATATATATATATATATATATATATATAAGTATATAAAATATATATATATATATATGAAAAAATGTTGTATTAACTTCTGAGCATTATTATTGACAATGTTGCTGTAGTTTTCAATAGTATTTGTTTGTTTAATTTTGTTTAATTTAGTATTGCTAATTTTGTGCTTCGTTTACTTTTATTTTATTTTGTGCAAATTCTAGTGGCTACCAAATTACTATTTAAGTATATAATTATGTATTATTTTAGCTGTTTGTTTGCCTTAAATAAATAAATATATCTTTTCAGATAAAAATAATTTTGCAAATCAATTTATAAATGACAGAGTTATGAGGTAAAATGCATAAAAAATATATTCGAATACCTTTTTCGATTTCGGTTAAAAAATTTTAAACTATCAAACCATCTGGCAAACATAGTACTAGTAACAACATATTTATTCTTATATATCCAGCGGTGGAAGTGTTAATAGGTTTTGACAAAATTTCTATGGGACCAATCTGTATGAATATATCCTATTAGATAAAAAAAATCCAAATCAGTTTACAATTGACACAGTTGTGAGGTAACAAACAAAAAAAGTCCAGCCGAATTAAGAACCTCCTTATTTTCGAAGTTGGTTGATAAATAAGAAACTATGTAGGGTTGGATGGATGAATGTTTATTTTTTCTATTGGATGAAAATGGAATGGTAATCCCGCCTGCGCTAACGGGATACGTTGATGGGGCACCAGTGAAGGATTTTCGATGAGGATGAAAACAGGCCAATTAGCCCGTCATGATGAATTTATCAGGAATTAACCATGATAGTTTTCAGGGGGAAGCGTGGAGGTCGACCTAGCTGGGTATATTGCTAGCAATGGGATTCTTAGTCTCCATTACTAACAATCCCTTTCCCCCCAATACCCTTTCACAAAAAAATTAATGAACCATTTTCAATGAAATTTAATATACGGGTAGGTTATATTCTGATTTATCACAAATAATATTGACTATATTGATGAATAATATTGGGAAAGAATCCTTTTAGCATTAAGTCCGACTTGAACAAATATTTTATACTAAAGAATAAATATATAAATAAAATATATTCATATTGTAAGTCACACGGGCGATGTCGCAGGATACAGCTAGTATGATGTAATCAAAATCAAAAATTTATTAAACATTTTCCATTTGTTCATACCTAC